CATCTGCAAACAATCCCGCTGATATAGCGCACTGCATGCACACCTTGGCTACTTTTAAACAAACAGGAAAATTTTTATGTGAAAATCTTTATCAAGAACTCCAACTTTGCCCAGACAGTCACTGTAGAATGCTCCCATATGCCGGGCGCAACTCTGCTGCGCCCTTCGATCTTGGGCTGCGTGCCTCTAGTTAGCATCCAGCGCAATTTACAATATGTTATCATAAGTTTATCTTGCGGATCCACAAATTCTGCGCAAGCCAACCATCAGACTCACCCATTATTTCTAATTCAGGTAAACAAAAAATTATGACATATCCAGCTCCACAGCACCGGCTGATATGCGTGACCAGCTTTGCTAGGTCTCTTTCGTTTAACACCCAAAATAGCTATGACCGTCTTAAGGCTGCCAGTGCCACCTGTGTCGGGGGGCTTCTTGCTGGGCCTAACGTGTCCCACATCTCCGAAAGCATTGTGCACCGCATTCAGATGCAAGGTGATGCGTCATGGTGAAGCGCATAGAAATACACGCTCGCGCCCGTTGCGACACGACCCAAATGATTTCAAACAACAACAAACCATTCTCATATCCGGCAGGAAGCAGACAGCTTCCATATAACTGCTGCCATTCGAGTCTCGTCCAGCGATTACTCATTGGGTTCCACGACTCTTTCCATAAATTTATGATACTGCAAGCACCAAAATTAGTTGAAAAATTCAAAGATAAGAAGGTTGGTTGATGAGCAAGGGCCGACGCATCATGCTGGATAGTGGCACGGCCTAATTCTTGAACAGCGACAGAAAATCGCCTAATCCACCGAAAATGGCTACATGCTCCAGACACGCCACACTGCATAATATGAACATCACCGCACAAAAAGCTTTACCTCCACAACTCGTCCAGGTCGCGCAAGATATCACGTTGCATGGCGTCCTGCGTAACCACGACAGCACTGCAATTCTGCCGGCCGCGATAAAACCGATAACGGCAGCAAACTTAACGATAATACATTTGCAGCAATTCGACCACAATAAATTCTGAAAGAAATTTCATTCGCTGAGAAATTCCTCAATTTCCTCATCACTGGTGTTACCGATGCTAACAACTGCGCCCAAAAATAACCCTTTCCCCACCGTCGTCCGCCTTGGATGCGACCTTACAGGTAACTACCGCGACTCTTCCAGTTCTAGCAGAATCAAAGGAAGTCCGCCCGCTTTGAAATCTGGGAACCATAAGCAGATCCAGAACTGGCTCCTGGGGGAGAGGGTGGGGACGAGGGATGGGAAGGAGAGAGGGGCTTCTAAGAGTGGAGGCGGCGGAGGACAACGGGGGGCCCACAATAAAATGG